TGTTGTTGATGATGATGATGATGATGTGACGATGATATGATAAGGACGAAACTTATGGATGATGATGATTTTTGAGAATAAAATTTTAAAAGACGAGAAGGTTCTAATGGAAAGATAGATTAATATTTTGAAAATATGTTCATTCGGCAAATACAAATTAGGGGAAGCCATTTAAATATTGATGATGATGAATATGGTGATAACAGATGATGATTGTGATAATGATAGTGATAACAGATGATAATGGTGATAATGATGATGGTTATTATTATTATTATTAATGATGATGATAATGTAACATCCTCATCATCACAATGATGATAATGATGAGGATGAAGAAGAAAATGATGATGATATTTTGGTTTGTAACAGTAAGAATGATGATAATAATGATGATGATGGTGATAACAGATGATGATGGTGATAACAGATGATGATGGTGATGATGATGATGAAAATGATGATATTGTGTTGATGAAGATGACGACGATGATGATAATAACAATAAAAAGATTAATGATGATGTTATTGTTATTATTATTATTATTTTGGTGATGATAATGATGAGGATGAAAAAGAAGAAAATGATGATGATGATATTTTGGTAATGATGATAACGATAACACAAATTTGTAACATGTAAGAATTATGACAATAATGATGAAAATTATGATCATGATAATAGTGGTTGCACCATCATCATCATCATTATCATCATCAACCGTATCACAAGTTTTATTAAATATAGAAAATTGTCCCAGCTAAAAACTGGAATGCGTGTTATAGTCGTCGTCCTCACCATCATCACCACCATCATCATCATCGTCATTTTTGTCACCATCATCATTATCGACATCACCACTATCATGCGTTTTTATTTTACGTAGGGAAATGCCCAATTGAAAAATTTGAATGCAAGTCATCGTTGTCATGGTCAGGCGAGTGCATTTCGTCCTGGAAAGTATGTAATGGAGTTAGGGACTGCAGCGATGGATCCGATGAAAACAACTGCACGTACGGTAAGTCATCATCACCATCTTCCTCCTCCTCCTCATCTTCATCATCATTTTTTTTTCTTCTCATCTTCATCATCATCATCGCCGTCATCATTGACGTCACCATCGTCGTTGTCGTCGTCATACTTAAAGTTATCCAAGCCTACATCATCGTCACTCTTATCATTTATCTTCTTCTTCTTCTTCATCATCATCTTCTTCTTTTTTATCATCATCTTCATCTTCTTCATCATCATCTTCTTCTTTTTTATCATCATCTTCTTCTTCTTCATCATCATCTTCTTTTTTATCATCATCTTCATCGTCGTCATTGTTGGCGGGTAACCATTACAATACTAATTATCCCAGTTATAGGAACAGGTATAATTCAAAGCGCTTTCAAATACAAAATAATTATGGTCTAAGAAGTATTTTATTAATAGTAATACCAACATTAGTAACGTGAATAGCACTATTACTGTTGTGTTAGTAATTACTGTAATGGAGTTTTTCACTGAAATTCGTTTTATTCTTTCATTCAGTTCAGAACTCTCAGTCCATCATTCAATTGTCCAACAACGTTCTTGATTGGCTGCCGAAGAAATGTAATTTGTATGTTAGGCGATGTGTCTCCATTTATTCATTCAATCAATCATTAGTAAACTGCCTGATTGAGTGATTATTGATTGATTGGTTAATTGATTGATTGATTATTAATTGATTGATTATTGAGTGATTGATTAATTGATTGAATGATTGATTGGTAGGTTGGTTGATTAGTTGTGAAGTTTAATTAAATGTGTCTTTTGCAATTGGCTAATCAATCGATCCGATCGATCGATCAATCAATCAATTAATCAATCAATCAATCAATCAATCAATCAATCAATCAATCAATCAATCAATCAATCAATCAATCAATCAATCAATCAATCAATCAATCAATCAATCAATCAATCAATCAATCAATCAATCAATCAATCAATCAATCAATCAATCAATCAATCATTCAATCATTCAATCAATCATTCAATCAATCAATCAATCAATCAATCTCGATCGATCGATCAATCAACCAATCAATCAATCAATCAATCAATCAATCAATCAATCAACACCTTAGCATGCACGAAATACGACTTCACATGTTCATCGGACAAATCATGTATCCCACTTTCGTGGAGATGTGATGGAGTGAAGGATTGCAGGGATAATTCCGATGAATCTTTCTGCTCTGCTGCTACGTCAAAAAGTGATGAAATAATTATATCTTTCTCATCAGAAGCGTTGTTATTATCATCATTTGTATCATTTTTGACTGCGTCATTATCTTCTCTATCTAATCATCGTCGTTATCATTTTCGTCATAATTACATCATGGTATTCTTCATCATATCATTCTCACCATTTTTGTTGCTTTTCTTTTTTTTCACCATTTTCAACTTCACCACAACCATTCTCATCGTCATCATCAACACAGCTTGTGAGAGAACAAAAATAGATCGTTCCGTATTTACCTGTCTGTCGGCCACCAAAAACCAACCACAACAACCACAGCAGCCGCAACAGCAGCAGCAGCAGCTGGATTGTGTGAACATGAAAATGAGATGTGATGATGTTAGTGACTGCTCGGATGGCACCGATGAACTTGGATGCTGTGAGTTACGATGAGATGAGGACGACGATGATAAAAATTATAACAAATTTGAGATGAACTTTTTCTTTACTTGGTCTCCGTTGAAAATGTCCTTCAGTATATCCATCTATTAATTCCCCAATTTATTTTTCAATTTCATTTTCATTAATTTATTTTTCAATCATTTATATGTCTTTTCATCTACTCATTAATTCATTCATTCATCCCTTCATCCACTCATCCCCTCATTCATTCATCCACACATTCATTCACTATTCATCCATCTTTGTAATCATCGATTTATAAACTGATTCGTGTATCAACCCACAAATCCATCCATCCATCCATCCATCTATCCGTCCATCCATCAATCCGTCCATCCATCCATCCATCCATTCACTCATTCATTCATTCATCCATTTAATGCAGATTGTGACAGAAACATAAGAAGTAACGTGAGATGTAGATCATTCAGTTGCATCAGCGTGACAGGCTGGTGTGACGGTAGGTCGGATTGTGATGACGGCTCCGATGAAAATTTCTGCCCCCAAAGTTGGTTTCGAGTTTTTTTCATCAAGATTTTGTTATGTTTTTAAAAAGTTTCAGACAGACTTGTTAGAAAATGCGAAAATGTTATAAATATTTTTCAAAACTGATGTTCCACTGATTCGTCGACTTTTCAAAGATTAAAAACAAATTTTATGAAATTTTTTTAGAATATTTTATGAGTTTCCTATAAAGCTGGTAAGTTGGTTGGTTAGTTAATTGGTCAGTAAACAATACAAATCTAAATCGCATTCTATCAATCAATTAAGTTCAGGTTAAAACAATCACTCTAATCATTAATTAAATTCAACCAACCAACCAATCAATCACTCAAAACTAATCACTCATTCAGTTCAATGTCCTCAAGACTCCATGCGATGTAGACCACTGAACAAATGTCTGCCCTCTTGGTATAGGTGCAACCACCATGTTGATTGTCCGGATATGTCTGATGAAAATAACTGCCGTATGTTTTTCGTGCTTGAGAAGATGGTTTTTTTTTGTCGTCATCGTCATCAGCAGCATCATCACCACAACCATCATCATCTTCATCACCACTATCATCATCATCTCCATCACCACTATCATCATCTTCATCACCACAACCATCATCATCTCCATCATCACTATCATCATCTTCATCACCACCACTATCATCATCTTCATCACCACTATCATCATCTCCATCACCACCATCATCATCTTCATCACCACTATCGTCATCTTCATCACCACCATCATTATCATTGTTGTCGTATTCATTAAAATCA